GGTAGGTAGGTAGGTAGGTAGGTAGGTAGGTAGGTAGGTAGGTAGGTCAGTTTGTTTATTTATTTGTTGGTTTGTTAAGTTTTTCATCATCTTCTGCTTGTTCTGGAATCGGGTCGTGGGGACAGTAGCTTAAGAAGGGAGGCCGAGACATCTCTTTCCTCATCCACCTTTTCTAGCTCTTCTGGGAGGACCCCAAGGCGTTCCCAGGCCAATTGAGAGACGTAGTCTCTCCAATGTAACCTGGGTCTTCCCTGGGGGTCTCTTCCCAGAGAGCCTCCCTAAGGAGGCACACAGGGGGGCTTCTTATCAGATGCTCGAACCACCTGAACTGACTCCTCTCGATGTGGGGGAACAGTGGCTGTATTCCAAGTCTCTCCCTGATAACTAAAATTCTCACACTATCTCTAAGGGAGAGTCCAGCCATATTGCAGAGAAAAATAATTTCAACAGTCTGTATCAGCAATCTTGTTCTTTCGGTCACTACCCAGAGTCCGTGGTCATAGGTGAGGGTAGGAACATAGACCAACAGGAAAACAGAGAGCTTTGTCTTACAGCTCAACTCCCTCTTCACCACAATGGACCAGCACAGAGTCCTGAATACTGCAGATGCTCCACCGATGCATATGCCAATCTACCGCTCCATTCTTTCCTCACTTGTGAACAAAACCCCAAGATACTTGAACTTCTCCACTTGAGGCAGAACTTCACCATCAACTAGGGGTTGAACGAGTATATAATTTTTAAACTCGACATTAACATAATAAAACCCGAGTAGAACTCGAGTATTTGATGACGTCATAGATCTCAAGATACAAAAATAAATAAATTAATTAAACCGCAAAAAAAGGTAATTATTTACCCAAAAAAAATACCAACAAAACATTGGGAGCGTATATTATGCTCCTACCATGTATCATACTGCAAATAAGTCACAGGAAAAACTAAACTATTAGTTATTATTATTAAACTGCAAACGAGAAGAAACGCAGCACGTCAAAAACGAAACTTAAACCGAAACTGGTTCTGGTGGATTGGACCCGGTGTTACACAACACTCTGTGACCTGCAACAGTGCAACACCACCCCTACGGTCATACGTGGTCACATAATATGACGTCGCTACGGATACCCAACTTTACTTTTTTAACATCGATAGATGTCCTAACAATCGATGTGTAAATTACTCGAGTACTCTGTTAATGCCCTACCATCAACCCAGGGAGGGCAGTCCACACTTTTTCAATTTAGGACTATGGCCACAGATTTGAAGGTGCTGATCCTCATCCCAGCTGATCAGCCTCGTACAAGAGATCAGTCAATATTATGCTGCACATTTTTAAAAGAAAGCACATCTGAAAGGACGACGACGACGACAGGTAAGTAGCTTCTATTTTAAGCCAAATGGTTTGGACTCTACCCTACTAGCTCCACTTAAACGCATTATCAAATGGTGTAAAGCTAGAATTTTGAACTGGAATCTAAACAACTTTTTCGCAATACTTTCTGCCAACTGTTGGGGTTTCATGAGTTTAAAGGTGCAACTAAAATTCAAAGGGCACAAACAAATGACTTATAGAAGTTAAGGATGTGAGAGAGAAAAAATCAGTGCCCCCCTCTGTGCACCCAGGAGAAAGTATTGACGCAATCATCACACTCGAGAACAGAATGGTCACTAAAGACCTCTCATTGTAGATTCTTGATTAAGGGTTTTTGTTTGTCCAGTAGTCAGTGACAATCAGTGGTGCCTTAGGTGTCTTTATGGTTTATCGATCTGCAGCACTTTTCTTTAAGTACTTTGACCCAACAAAACTGACAACAGCTTTGACCACTTAAGGACAATACCCTGGAGCAAACTAATTCTGAGTATTCAGCAGGTTCATTGCAGCATTCTGTTGGAGGAGGCATGAAATTACAAGTTTAATGGGACTCATACTTGAAAGCATTTTAAGCTAAGTTTAGACACTTGTTGACATATTTTTCCAATCAAAATTTCTAATAATGCTTAACCACCAAGGTTTTTCTTGGTCCTGGTAATACTAGGACTTTAACTGTTGATGTATCCATATCAAGTTTATTAAAAAAATTGTGCTCCCTAATGTAACCATTCATGGTTTATTCACAATTAGAATAACTTGGGAATAAAAAAAGCAAACTAAAGGTGTTAAGAAAAGTAGATTTTGACCTAAAAGCACAAACAAGTTGAAATAAATTCAAACCAGAGGTCCAGAGCTTAAAACATTGGAAAAGCCTCCTTATTTTAAACTGAAAAAAGTCAACATGTTCAGCAGCAGTAGGATCATTACTAATTTATCTAATCTTCAAACATGAATATTGCCAGGCTGTGAGAGTGATGAATAAGTTACACAAGGTCCTGTGCTGAGAGCAAAAGCACCTGGAGTGATTCGACAGCTTGTTCTTCCACTAGTCTTTGCTTGTTCTGGTTTTTACATGAATCATTCTGGTGGTGCGGTTCTTCGTCTACCGACTTGATCAGTTTGCCGTGATGTATGCCAGTCAATATGTCTGACTGCCTGTCCCTCTTGTTCTGACACCTGTCATAACATCAGTGCTTTTTCCATTCTTGTTTCATTCTTTATTTTTTGCCTGTCATGCCTGCAATGCTTCAGACCTCTCTTCTCTTATTACACCAGGGCAGCCATCTCCCCCATTAGAGATATTTTAGCTGCCATTTTCAATGCAATTAAATCTTAGCCCTTTTGCCCGCTGGTCATCTTTCCCAGGTGCTCCTGGGAGGTCGGTGTGCAGACAGATAATGGCCTCCCTTTAGTTTAGGTCTGGCCACCTGTTCTCCACACAGGCTGCGCTGATCCTGCCTTCTGCAATCATAACACTTGAGAGGCAGAAACAAAAGTGCATGAAACTCGGCTCACTTTACAACACACTGTTAGCTTTCATTAGAAAGTGGAACTCCATAATGAAAGATGTACTATAGCAGAAAAAAATAATGAATGACTAAAACACTTT